TGAACAGGAGAACAGACTAGATTTCCTCTAAGGTCTTTTCCAATTCAATGATTTTATGATTCTCTGAAACTGGTGCTGTCGATGAATGAGGGATAGCTCAGACCCTCACTATAAATCAGATAAGAAACTGAGAAACATCCAGAATATCTTTTGATTGCTGCTGTAAAGCTTCCTTTGGGGGCCAGAGACTTCTTGGCAAGTCTTGAATTGCTCAGAATGCCTATGACTTTTTCTAGAGAAATCAGCTGGGAGCTCATGACATCTTGCAGTCAAATCTGTTTTTCTGCTGTGCTCTGAAATAACAGTTCAGTTGAGTTCAGGGGGATTTTCAGAGGGGAGTAAAAAAACTCAAGATTTCAGTCATGACTGTTCAATTGAAGCCACACCCTGTTTACATTTTTAAAAAGGTAAAAAATGTGGGGTTTTGTCGGTTGTGACAACTATCTCGACGTTTTTGATGACTTCCCCTCCCTCCTGGGGATGGCCCCAGTCAGGTTGCTCCACAGGGATCCATTACACCATGTACAGTCATGGATTCAGTTTTTACCTAAGTCCCTTGTTTAGAGTTATCCACCTCTCTCCATAACTGAGCGATTTGTTTTCCAATGACTTCTATAACAATATATTTCATTCATATACTCTTGATTGATAACATCATAGATTTATAATGTCAGCTATAAGACTCTCCTTTTACCACAATCTTTGATATTTTATTGCTCTGATCTTTGGACTCTGCTTCTGATAGATGGTGAAGAGGAGATATAGTAGGCTATAAGGAAAGGAAACACAGTCAAGGACATCTCTAGGAGTGAGTCATATGAACAGTTTTCCTCCTTCCTGATGAGCTACAATCCTTTGGGAGAATGATTAGTAAACTAAACAATAATAGTACAATAATAGTGGTTATTCCCAGGTATTCCACTTTCATTAAACAACAAAGGCATCTGTGGCTTGTGTATATGAGGCAAACCCTCTTGGCAATATTCTGCCAAAATGTTTTGTGAGAAATGAAGTCATGAATGCTTTAGTTTGGATTCCTGACTGAACAGGGGGTTGTGCTCAATGGCCCAAATGGTCCCACTGATTGCCTGGCTGCAGGAGGACCTTTTTGTTCATGCTGAATGCACTAGACTATTCTTTTTTTTTTTTTACTCCTGCCTTTATTATTTTTATAAATGAGTCAAGGTGGCAAACCTATTTAATACTCCTTCCTCCTCCTATTTTCCCCACAACAACAACCCTGTGAGGTGAGTTGGGCTGAGAGAGAGGGACGGGCCCAAAGTCACCCAGCTGGCTTTCATGCTTAAGGCAGGACTAGAACACACAGTCACCTGGTTTCTAGCCTACTGCCTTAACCATTAGATCAGACTGGCTCTTTGGTTTTTCTTTGGTCTTCTATAATGGAAATGTGGTTTCACTAAGTTATCTTTATGAAATACTCTCACTTTTGTTGTAGCACTGAGAGCAACTCAGAATTCCAGGATATCTCAAAAAAGGAGGGAGGGAGGGAGGGAGAGAGAGAGAGAGAGAGAGAACACACACATCAAAGGCAAAATTCATGCCTTTTCTGACTCAATTCTCGTTTCATATCCCAAAAATGTAATTTCCCACCCACATCAATTTTGTAAATATTAAAACATTACCCACCCAATGGAGGTAGGTCTGCCTTAGATCTATGTTGTTCAGAGCAGAGCTCCAGCTGGGAGGTTGTAGAGCACACCTTCATTTTGCAGACTTGGAACTGGAAGGAATAGATTTTCACAACTATGCAATATAATTCAGTGTTGTTATTTAGTCTCTCCCTCTCTCTCTGTGCTTTGGGGAAATAAAGTTACTTAGTAATTACAATTAATTAAGGCTCCATAAAATGAAGGAAATCAGGAAGAGGATTCAAGGTTTCAGCAGTGGATGAAAAGACATAATCAGAATGCCAGGTCTAACTTATGTGGGAACACTGATTTCTCAGAGGCCAGATATAGACACTAGCAGACCAAATTCTCTTGCCCTCCTGATGTTCACCAGCTTTTTCAGAAATGGTAGTCTGCTTTCTAATGATGGCTAAATTATTCATTCCATGCTGAACCTAGAAAAAGTCCTACAGTATTTCTTACTCTGTCAACCTTTTTTTTAAAAACAGCAGCTAAACTGCTTATATCTACTGTTTCTGATGCATGCTGTTGCAACTCATCCAATACAGGTAGTCCTTGACTTACAACCATTCGTTCAGTGATGGTTAGAAGTTATGACAGTGCTGAACGAAAGGACTTACGACTGGTGCCCAAAGTTATGGCTGTTACAGCACCCTCATGGTCACATGATCAAAATTTGGGCACTTGGCAGCCTGCCTGCACTTATATGAACATAGGGGTGCTTCAACTCCCCCCACCTATATCTCCCCCACCTATGCACTTTTGACCCCCTGCACTCCGCAGCCCCTGCCACTCTAGCTGACTTTCACCGTCTTCTTGCTCCTGCTGCTGACCAAGCATGCCCGGCCTGGCCCTTTGCGAGGCAGCTCCTGGCCACACAAGGCTTTCTTCCCAAGGTCACACAGGGTATTTTCCTTGCAAGACCTGGGAAATATGACCTCATGTGGTCAGCAGTTGCCTCACAAAGGCCAGGGTGGGTATGCCTTGTCAGCAGTGGGAGCAAGAAGACTGTAAAGGCCAGCTAGGGCAGTGGAGTGCAGGGTGGTGAAGGCAACTGCAGCTGGGACTGGCCTGGGATGGCTGGGTGTTCCCGGGCATCATGGCTTTTCACCATGCTGCTTGGCTGGGGCTGAGCTTCATGTGGCACAAAGGGGCTTCCTGGCGTGTTGTAGGTCTGGAGCTGCAAAAAGTCCCAGAGCCACAGGAAGCTCCTTTGTGCTGTACTACTGGGCTGGGCTAGGACTGGGCTTTGCGTGGAGCAAAGGGACTTCCTGGTGTACCCCAGCTCTGGGGCTACAAAAAGCATGCCGCAGCTCTGGAGTATGCCAAGAAAGCCTTGAGCCGCAGCGTATTCTTTCCCCAGCCTTCCTGAGCTTGCACCGCACTGCAGCACCCCTTCCCAACTCGTGCAAGGCCTATACCAGCCCTCCTGACCCCACCCCTGCGACACCCCCGGGCTTTTTACCTGGGACTCCTTCTTCCTGTTTAGCAACCCATGTGTCATGGGGTTAAAATGGCAACTGGGACTGCCCAGATTGCTGTTGCTAAGTGATGCAGTCATGTAATGTCACACTTTACAACTGCATTGCTTAGTGATGGAAATTCCAGTCCCAATTGCGGTTGTAAATAGAAGACTACCTATAGGCTATATAATCCTATCTGGAAGCTACACTCATTTATTTAGCTGGTGGTTTTGGTGAGAGCTGCAGTAGGTGGAGGGCTGCCTCACTCACAACTATGGGGCATGGGCTTTATTCATTGTCCTGGTGAAGGAAACATTAACTCTCTAATTAAAAAGAGGTGTGACATCTGATATAAACTTTCATTGCTTATTTAATGCTAAAAGAATCTCACCAATTTGAAGCAGAGCTTCAAGGTCAATCCACTCATGCAATTAATTTCTGTGTATGCTAGAATAAACACTCAGTTTTTAAGCTTCTTAATATCTAGCCCTTACTCAGGTTACCCCATAATTGTTTAAATGCTATTATGGCATAAACCCCATTATGATACAGCTTTGGAGAATCATACTTTTGTATCTTCATGATTCTTTGCATGAAACATTAGAAACTCCATGGATATCTTCTGTTCTCCCAGTAGAGAGGAACAAAGCTGAAACACAAAGTCAAAGCAAAGCAGCAATGACTGCAGCATTTCATTAAGTTGCAAATTCTGTGAGTGACTGTAACTTCTCCAAAGCTATTTCTATGTCCTGTACAAAATTTTATAAAATAATTTGTAACTGTTGATGCCCAAACCTCTGGATGTAAATAAGAGAGATGAATATTCTTCTGCCCCAAGACCAACAGTTTAATGTAAAATATTCTTTCAGTTTATTTCAGCAATTTCTGTTTAGTACCAAATTACTTGTTTAAAAAAAATTAGGGAAGGGAAAAACCCAGAAAAAGTAACATCTTTCTAAGCATAAGAATACACACACACACATATATATATACATATACATATACATATACATATACATATATACACACATACATACACACACACACACACACACACACATATATATATATATGTCATAAATGTGCTTTACTAGGCTGAAGGAGCAAAGGTTAATTTAATAGAAAAAATAAAATGTGGAATAACATTGATTTTGGCCAATAACAATTACAATACTACCTATTTTTACAAATAAGAGTTGGACATTTTACAGATGTACAGTACTTTTCAGTAAAAACGTATCTGGATTTAACAATGTCAGTATTTAAAAAATTAAATTCTCCTCTATATTAGTGTTAGAAGCATTTTTAAGTATCCAAATAAAATCTTTACAACTCAATATATTATATCACAATTTGGAGACACACAATCACACACACGGGTGTATGTGCATGTGTATGTGTGTTGTGTAATATTTACTTATATTATATATATA